TATGACTGATTTAGACACGGGCGTGTAATGAGGCTTATCATAGGTTACCGTTGGATATGATGCATTTTGATTTGTAATATTTATCACTCGTAGTATAGGGGCGTGGCTGTCACCCACCAGCTGATAGTCGACTATATCAGTGTATATAAAGATATTATAACATCCGGCGTATATGTCTGCTGGATGTGGTGCTGCGAACGGTTTAATTTGGTGATCGGGTATGTAGACACTCCCCTGATTTTCAAAACCCAAGATAATAGCTAATAACCCGTAAAATGTCAACGTGTGTCCTGCTGCTTCATGTATAGTAATTTTGTTGTTAATGTTGTTGTATTGTAAGTGAATATTCCCCGTTATCGCGTTAGTTGATAAAGCATTATTAATTTCCTTCACTATTCTATGCACGGATTCGTAAAACCCTACAGTAATCTCTATAGCGTCCGACTTTCCTTTAGGCGTGATGACGATTATTTTTGCTGCTCTTTCATCGAAAGATTTCCAAATTCTAGGATATTGAACTTCAATTAAACCTACTTCATAAGGCTCTGTTAATAAGAGCGGTCGAGCAAGTTTGTTTCTAAATTTCCATATTTTGTTATTTGGGTAAACCTCCATAGACGCGTTGCTTGCGAGGGTGACATAAAATCCTTCATTATGATTCATTGGTTCTTCTTCCTATGTCTATAACCTCCTTCGCATTTATCCAAGAGTTAAACTCCTTAGGCCAACCGATCCAGCTAACAAAATACTGTTTAGTTTTACCCACACGCTTTGTTTTTAAAATATCTTGAATTTTAAAAACTCTGTTATGTTCGATAATGACACGTTGTAGTTCTGATTCATAAAAAGTCCCTTGCAATAACGCCTCTGATAGATCTTTCAATCTATAGACAGGTGGTGTTCGGCCTATGCGCTCCACTATTGTGAAATATTCATCTGTGAAGCTCTGCTCATATCCTTTACGAAAAATCCCTTTCTTTTTAGATATTCGCACTGTGTCACCTAGTGCATATTTAAAAACTAGTTGCTTTGTCGGATTCTTCTTGTATAATGCCTTAAAAACCTGTGCCTCATTATCTTTATTCACACTCACAGGTTTCATCTTGATACTTCGATGGTATGCATGATTATATCCATGGACTAGTTGATCCAACACGTCTATGTACCGTCTCGAATTTACAGATGTTAAATATCTCCACATCCGGGTCTTAAAAGTGCGGTTGAATCGCTCAACCACGCTGGCCTTTGTTTCATTCCCCGTGGAAAAATGTTTAATTTGATAGGCACTCAACACATTCTGGAAATGCTTATTATAAAATTCTGTTCCATGATCTGTTTGGAGTTTTCGAGGGATCCGTCCTTCACTTAGAATTTGTTTAACACACTTCTGACACTTCTGGACCCTTTTTCGATTTGAGACACTTCACCCACGCATATTTTGAAAATACATCTATACATGTTAGTAAATACCGAACATTATCGTTTTCATTGGCATATTCTGAAACAACACACACACATCCAATGTCTCATCATGAATTATTCCCTTCCCACACATCCAGTGCCTCATCAAGAAAACTTTTCTCGTCAGTTAGTGAATCCGTCATATCTTGTATTACAGCATTCAAATCGTCTTGTGTGAACACGTACAACAGCGCGTCGACCGCCCCCTTCAGACGTTGTCTAGGCAACACAATGCCTTGTGTTGCTAGATAAGCTTCGACAGCTGGTATGAAACGTGCGTTCCACAATTCAGGAAGCCGTTTTTCACCCAGAGTATGGTAAAAGTATTCAGGGTATCTCTCGAGACAGCTGTGTTGAATCTGACTCGGGTGGTCGACCTCACAACCATAACACTCTGCCTTCCAACTCTTGACCATTTGAGCATCAATCAGGTATAAAAGGATCTTCCGCAGATTCAATATGAAATGCTCAGATTCATCTGTGAACCCTCAGGGGTTCTGGCTCCTTCTCCGCAGGGGATTCTGGTTCCTTCTCTGCATTCTCGGGTGTCACTAAAAAAACATTCTGTTAGTAACAATATAGTGGTAAAATAATAATCACTTATACACACCATAAGCCACAGCATTGTCATCACCTGGGACCGGGGAGTGTGGTACAGGGAGGAGTGAGATTTCCAATTCATCATCAGTTGCATCGGTTTCACCGCCATCTTTTAAAGAACATAGAGGGTATTAATAAAAATATATACTGAATATCTTTAAATAACCGTACCTGTTGACTGTGTGTTTTCACCACCCTCTGGGGACGCATCGATACTTGCTTCCTCCATTGGTTGTCCTCCTAGTGGAATATAAACATTATTACGCTGTATAGAAAAAATACAATAAATATGTTAGTAATACTTACCATAATCTCTTGTTGTTGTTGTATTCAGATAGAACCGCATATTAGGTGTTTCAGTCTCAGTTTCAAGGTATTGTAGTCGTTTTTTGACCGTTTCCAACTCCATTAGAAATAATCTTTTTGAATAGCTTTATCAATTTTGCTAAATATTCTAGATACTTCACCCCAGTCCTTGTACTGTATAGAAACAATATTCACCTGTTTTGGCGGTAAGGCTCCCGATGTAACACATTCAGCGTAATTATGTAATTTAATTTGCACAAGACCCTTGTTTTCTACGTCTGCAGGGTCATTCGTAACCACTAGCTCATAATCCCCTTGTTATCCTCTCTCCAAAAATGTCTATACTCTACATTTTTAACCATAGCCGTATTTATAGCGTTGGAGTGAGTCCTGAAATGGAACCAACTCGCTATAGACATGTTTCCTCCCCAAAAATAACATACCCAGCGGTGTACGTAAATGTATAAGACGTTTCACTTCTCCCTTGCCTCGTGACGGTGTACGGTTTACGCTTAAGACCTTTCGTTTTAGGGAGCGCCTTTCGAGGATGACTTCTGAGATCTTGTGAGAGTTTCATGGCTGTTTGGTGTAGAAAAAAAAAAAGTTATTCTTATGTGTAATCAGAGGCTATATTAGGGCCTCCTTAAAAACAGAGCAACCTATTCACAAACCCTCCTCATCTAAAGGACGTGTAAACAGACCTCCCACCCATTCTGATTTGTTTGTTAGTACACCCCTCCAACCGCATCAAGAAATGCTATCAATCACACACAAAACACAACCTAATGTCTGAGCTGAGCATTCCTAACTGTTTAGCATGTGCTATATAAACCGTGACCAGAAATCACTTTAGACAACGAAACATTTACTTTACACACACACACAGGGTCAACAGACTCATTAAAAACTCTTTGAAAAAATACCGTGCAGAAACACCATTCACCACATGCTCAAGTGCGCCGGCCCCTTTGCTGGGAGTTTTAGGTGCAGTACCACCTTTTCAACCACTCCATTACATTGCGCTATACCGCCTCAATACTATCTACCGACAACAATCAGTCGTGCACTGCACAAATCTGCCTTTATGGAAGAGTGGCAAAGAAGAAAGCCATTTCCAAAGATATCCATAAAAAGTCTCGTTTAAAGTTTTCCACAACCACCTGGGAGACACCCCAAACATAGTGGAAGAAGGTGCTTCTGGTCAGATGAAACCAAAATCGAACTTTTTTGGCCACAATGCAATAACGATAATGTTTGGCGCAAAAGCAACACACTCACAACTCTGAACACAGCCTACCATCCCCACGCTCCAAACATTGTGTGGCATTCATGCTTTGGGCCTGCTTTTCTTCAGCAGGACAGGGAAGATGGCTAAAATTGATGGAAGATGGATGGAGGCCAAATACAGGACCATTCTGAATAGAAAACCATGGAGGTCTGCAAAAGAACCTGACTGGGACGGAGATTTATCTTCCATCAGGACAATGATCCAAAACAGAAAGCCAAATCTACAATGGAATGAGTTCACAAATAGATCGTATCCAGGTGTTAGAATGGCCAAGTCAAAGTCCCGACCTGAATCAAATCGAGAATCCTGTGGAAAAGAGCTGAAGACGCGTCACAAACCTCTCCCTCCAACCTCCTGAGCTCAGCTTGTTGGCAAGTAAAGAATGGGCAAGATTCCCATCTCTCGATGTGCAAAACTGATAGAGACAAACCAAGCGACTTACCGCTGTAATTGCAGCAAAAGGTGCGCTACAAAGTATAGCGCAAGGGGCCGATTATTATTCACGAACCCACTTTTCAGTTTTTTATTTGTTTTAAAAAAGTTAAATTATCCAAAAAATTTAGTTCGCACTTCACGATTGTGTCCCCACTTGGTTGTTGATATCTTGACAAAAAACTTATTTTTGAATCATTATGTTTGAAGCCTAATGTTGGCGGAAATGTTAAAAAGGTTCAAGGGGGCCGAATACTTTCGCAAGGCACTGTATATGAAATCATGACAAGTAAAAAAGTCACTGGAGACTTCCCTGGTAGCCGGGTGCTTGCCTTGGTGATTTTTTGCTAACTGACAGTTTGAACTGCTCCGTGTGGTCCAAACACTGACGCATTGGGGCCTCAAGCTGCCACAGTCTGACCAGTCTGCTGTAAATACTGGTACTTTTTAGTTCTTGATGGCGTTTATTTACACAAGTCTACTGGGGAAAGTTCAACAATGGAGGCCCTTTGTGTCCAGCTTTATTGCCACCATAGTTTCCAAACAAGCAATGAAGTGGAAAGGTGTAGGGTCAAGAGTGTTTTGGCCTGAGTGTGTTTGGGTTGTTGTGTGGCATAGGGACATGGGTAAATAAGCACTAAATACATCTGCTTGTCCAACAACCATTTCAAACTGTTTATTGCGTTTATAAATTTGTATCCTGCATGTGAACTCCATCCAAATTATTTCCTAATGTGAGAATGGGTGTGTGGGGCAATAAAAGTTAACTTAAGTATCCTAGGAGTTTCTTCACTTAAAGAGATCACGTATTAGACCTCTTCCTCTTTCTTCACTCCTCACTCGTAATTTTCACATTCTAAAAACAGTGATGGGGGCGGTCCCAAATGTTCCGCACCCGTCTGTCCCAACGCACTCACCCTGGTGTTTGCTGAGCCGCTGCTCCTCTTCTCCATCTCCCCAGGATGGCTGCTAGTAAAGAGGACTTCCCCGAGCCCACACGCCCACACGGCCACCATGCCCCCCCTCCACCATTCCCGTTTATGCGGCTGAGGACAGGGCCGCGTCTGGGAACCAGGAGATAGTACCCAGCATGCACCTCTTTGCCGTTGCATCTGAGCACACACAGGGACAGGAAGCAGAAGTGACACATGTGGCGGTTCGATGGATGGGTATGACTTTTTAGACACATCCGTACGTGTAATAACATAGAATTTTTATTGAGTTTAGGCCAAATGTGACTTAAACAACTCGCACAGAAGTTTTGGAATAATACGTTCTGATCACAATGAGAGAAAAATGTGGAATAGAATGTATAAAAGTTCACGTTAAAATCACCGACTATGAAAGGAATTATAAAAGGTACGAAGAGGTTTGAGTGACAGTATTTCAATTATTCTATTGGGAAAATTCTTTTAGTCTGACATTCACATATTAGTACCACCCATGATATCGCATGAAAGATAAAAAAAAGCAGAAAAAAGCAAAAGAAAATGTAAATAATTCCATAACCAACACTTTCATAAACCTCCATCTCACGACCCATCCAACATTGTTCCTAACAGTTGACAGACCTGCAGCTTGTTTCGTGCTCCCATCCACGCTAAAAACAAGACTTTTTACCCGGTTTCTATCACCACCATTGAGAAAGCTAGAACAGAACATGCATAATCCCATCCACTATCACAGTATTATAGTTTTGAATTCTCCAAGTGAAGTTAGTAAGTAATTAAGTAATCTTTATTTATTGTCCCACAATGACTCACAATACGGGGATTTGCCGACCCGGCGCCCATTTGTCTTGGCATTCTGTGGGCAAAACAATAGAAAACGAAGCTGGAAACGTGTTAATGTCCGTGATAAAGTTGAAAATGGTCATCTCCTGCTGGTCAATGGATGTTCAAATCGTGCCGGAGGTTCCGTTAAACTTGGATTTTACAGTAAATACCCCATCATTAGACTTCATGAATGTGAGAAGACTAAGCATTGTCAGAACAACCACGGAGGTTTAGGCTTGCGAAGATAACAGGCAAGAAAACTCCTCAAAACACGCAAGAATACTCGAGCACCCTTTTGTCAGGTGCGTATCGATATCTTAATCATGTGTTGACAGACGTAATTTACTCAGTACTAACTTGTGTATGCTGATAGCTGTAACATTTTAGAGAGTTTCATTATTTAGATAACTTTATTATGAGGAGATCGTGGTCGCGTCCGAGGCTCTCGAGGGCAACGTAAATTGTATCTAAATAGATAATAAATAGTTCTAATGTGGTGGCTAAAACAATGTTCACAACAGCATTGCCTTCTGTAAAAAGATCTGGTGTCAAAAAATAAACTGCTTCTTTATTACCGCCTGGAAACAAATCATTTGCCCACCATTTCACCAAAACATACGGTCAAAAACGCGAAATAAACAATAACAGCAATCCAGAGTGTCCGTTTGGCATTAGCATTAATTAAATTAATTGTTAATATAATTAAAATAATTAAATGGAAGCTCCAACTGGTATTAAATCTAAAGTTTTTGAGAAATGTTTGCATTGCCTTGTTAATTTTTGCTGCATTAAATTTTGATCAAATATAGTAAACATGTCCGTAGCACGTTAAACTGTGGTGCCATTGTATTAATATACAATTATTTGCTCAAAAGTTGCCCTTTTTTTTCCAATTTGCGATTTGAAATATCTACATTTATTTCTCATTCTTCTGTTTAAATGGAATGCACAAACACAGCAGCGTGCCATCGAAAGATGCGTCTCCGAGGATGTCATTGACATTCCATTGTCTGTGGAACTAGTATATATCCTATGATGCGGGGGGGTCAGGACCCTGGTCACCCAAAGCCGCTTTACAATTCACATTTCCCACTTCTACGTCCAATTCTTTCCCTATATATTGTACGGCGTTTCTATATAACCTACTGTAGAGATTCAACACATTTCCTACACATAAAACTGGAAAATAAATTGCAAAATAAAGAGGGCATCAATTTAATCAGTTTTGGCGTTGAGCTCAATTGGTTTTATGATGCCTGCTTGTATTAAACTTAACTCATGCATATAAATGCTCCTTATATTGTATTTTTAAGTAAAGTCCATAATCAACAACAGCAATTTTCCAAGATTGTTCATTTTCTCCAGCAACAGATTAAAACCAAACAATGGAATAGAGCCATGGTTCAGAGTAGGACACAGAGCAAGGGGGGAAGCCCGCTCCTGTGCTGTGGGCAGCCTGACACACTGTCCCCTTTCACCTCGTCCTGTTGCAAGTAAGCTGTTGAAGCCTCCCTCCATGCGTTGCGCCAAACACGCGTGTGTGGGTCTCACACCGGGTCTCACGCACGTGCACAGAGGGGCTTGGCCGCGCTCTGACCAATCAGAGCAGTTCATCAGAGCGGGAGTTAGAGTGAGAGCCAGACGAGCAGAGTTTGTGGCACTAAAGTGTGGATTTATACAAAACCGAAGGATTTAAAAAGAAAAAAAGTTCAGGATGACAAGGGATACTAAAATCCCCACAAAATCCGATCTTTATGATAGCTGTAGGTTCTCTGTCCGCTGAGGTTGAGCTGTTTTAATATGCATTGAGTTCTATGGGAAAAATTTCTGGGTAGCCCACGTGAATTTAGTCTGGTTCAGTCTGCAGTACCGCGAGAATCCCCTGAGCACGTGGGTTATTCAGCTACAAGCTAGTAATACCCTATCCAGTTAATATAATAGATCCATGGCATCTATGCACACTCTGGCGAAGGATATTGCCCATAATTCTTTGCGGTACACACCAAAACGACGGGAAAATGCAATTAAATATACATTTTGAAATATATATGCAGTATGTGTGTAAATAAGTTTTGCTATGTTACTTGGAAAGAAGCATAAACGTCTGATGAAGAATTACGGACATTGTGTTTTAATAATTTAATTACTTTTTAAAGCAAGCGTTTATATAACATTCAATTTAAACTTTACACTTAGTACAATAATCTTAGAATGTATAAAAACTGACCAGATAGTTAGTTACCCACATTTAACTTAAAATTATACCGCTATCTCTAATTAAAAACAACTAATATACATGTATTATAACGTGTGTGAAGCAATTCATATTGTTTCCCAAAGGGTCAGACAAAATTACCTTTAATTTTTATAAAGTTTAGGTCTGAAAATGACCATCTCTTGACGAGTCGATGACGTAAACTGCACTCAGTGTGCAATGTCCCAATTCCACCTTTTGTGCACGCTTGCAACCTGCGCACTCAAACCCTTGCGCGCACTTCAAACAAATGAACACTTCATAGGAGGGCGTAGGGTGCAGTGTGGGTATTGGAACTGGGCCTGAGTGGACTTTAGGTGCAGTAATTGGATCCACCAGTGAAAGGCAGCAATGCACCGACTGGCGCACAGCCTGCCGGAAATTCACAAGAAGAAGAACAACACGATATCCGGTCGTCTGTCTGGCCCTTGTTTTCTGTTCTAAGATCTTTTCGAGCCTGCAGCCATGTCTCTGGAGGTAGAATCCGCAGAGTGAGTTTATATATATATATATATATATATATATGTATATATAATAGCTTGTTTTCCAAGTGTATTATTTGACCCACCTATTGTTGCTCGTTTCTATATGTTCATTCGTTCGTTTCCAGGCTAAGGCACCTAGCTTAGGCTACCGCTCTCCAAACACTTTTGTTTAACGTTATCATGTCAATTTGCTATTGTGAAGAAATAAAACATAAGTAGAGGGTTGTATCTTACATTTCGTGTCACCAAATTTAAAAAGAGTTCCAAAGGCCTTAGGTGTATTAACTTTGATTATTAATGACTTTTATCTTGTTTTATGAAGAATGCCTGCTGCTTTCAAAAATGGGATGAACTAAAAAGTCCCAAATAAGCCCTGTTTGACCCATGAAATAATATAAGAGATCGAGGACAACTAATATCACTAAGACAAAAGAGAAGTCAGAAAAATATGTGAGAAAATGAACTCTTGTGGCTTCCCTACATTTGTCCTTCCCTAGCTTCGTTTCTTTAGCAATTCTGCTTCTTTGTGTTGTATAACGATTCACTTATGTATTCATCTGTTCTTTGTTTCATTCATAATCTTTTGTTCTGCTTTTATGCTTAACTGTAAGTATATGCTTTGTCAATAGTTTGTACTTGCTTTGAATATAATAATCATACAACACTGTTATGTGGTTTATTTTGTTAATCTGTCTTTTTTTGTAGCGTGATCCGCCTCATAATGCAGTATCTGAAGGAGAATAACCTTCAGCGCAGCCTTGCCACACTCCAAGAGGAGACCACGGTGTCACTGAACACGGTGGACAGCATAGAAAGCTTTGTGGCAGATATTAACAGCGGCCACTGGGATACTGTCTTGCAAGCCATCCAATCCCTAAAGTTGCCTGATAAGACCCTCATAGACCTCTACGAACAGGTAAATGTGTATTCACTATCTAAATTTAAAGGTGACATTGCATGCATGTGGTCCCATATTGCACATTCTAACTTTATTTCAAATTATTGCACTGATGCATACATGTGAGGTCAGAACAATCCATATGGGAACATATTGCTTTCATTTGGTATCACAACAGCACAGCCTATAGTTTAAAATTAGTGGAACATTTTTCCAGGTAACTGTAAAAAGTAAGTTTTAAGTTTGAGTATTAATTCTTCACTGGTTTCTCATTCATTGGACAAGCCACAGGAAACAAACTATAAAGTTCCACATCGTCTTTGTCAGTGGTACAGGTGGGCTGGACACAAACACCTACCGTCCCTGGTCAGGGATTAGGCGCTACGTTTGTCAAATGCCTCAAAGCTTTGTAAAGCAATTAGTCTATTATAAGGAATTTTGTGTGTGCTAAAGCAGTCTGTGTAGAATGCTTAAGAGAGAGAGAGGTGATAAAAGTCTGAGTTGCATCTTTGTTTTCCATTACTATGGGAAGCTGGAAGATATAGCAGGCCGCCGCAAGTACCTGTTGTACACTCAGCCAGGTGTGAGGAAGTAACAAAATAACAAAGATGTGAAATGGTAACTAAAATAATTTATTTAGGTGACAAAATAGGATTAAATATATACATAACACACAAAGTAAATGAATAACTGATTAAACAGTAAGCAATTCCAATTCCAATGGTGTAACCTAAACTAAAGTGTCTTAACATAAACTACAAGTCACTGAACAAACTACCAGTGTTTTTATCGAGTTGTGCTGCTCGTCGAGTTGTGCCGCTCAGCTGTTAATGATGTAATGCAAACATGCGCGTCTCACGGCAGCCGAAGCAAACCAAGATGGCGGTCCGTGAATAGCTTTAAAAGTTATAATACGAACGAATTAAGACACAAATGTCACTTTAATGCAATTTGCGAGATGTTGATGGTTCTGTGTTGTCACATGTGGGTTTTAAGAGTCAAAGTTTAGTTTAAGCAGTCAACTGCGCCTGTGAAACCACACTGCGCCTGTGAAACCACACTGCTGCTGTGTGATAGCTGTCCGCGGCTGCTGACGTAGGCTGATGACACGTCCTGTGGCAACTCTACAGCTTACAACTGGTCTGTCGGGTTGATATGGAAAATGGGGAAAAACTCGATCTAATTAAATATTTCGTTTGAACACACTATTATTAATCATATTAAACACAGTACGATACATGCATTAAATTAAATTATTTATTTCCATTATCAACCCGACAGACCAGTTGTAAGCTGTAGAGTTGCCACAGGACATGTCATTAGCCTACGTCAGAAGCCGCGGACTGCTATCACACAGCAGCAGTGTGGTTTCACAGGCGCAGTTGACTGCTTAAACTAAACTTTGCACAAAACTTTGACTCTTAAAACCCACATGTGACAACACAGAACCATCAACATCTCGCAAATTGCATTAAAAGTGACGTTTGTGTCTTAATTTGTTCGTATTATAACTTTTAAAGCTATTCACAGATTGCCATCTTGGTTTGCTTCGGCTGCCGTGAGACGCGCATGTTTGCATTACATCATTAACAGCTGAGCGGCACAACTCGACAGAACACCGGCACAAGTGACCGAAAACAGACAAAACTAATGGCGAACTGGAGTCCACTGACTCCAGCTGCCCCGAGCCGCGGAAGATTGGCAGTTTATAAGGGCGGGTCCTCCAGGTAAGGCCTGCCTCAGCTGCTGCCCAATCAGCACCCAGGCATCGCAGACGATCAGCTCCAGGTGGGGAACGACTGGCCAATTTGAGCCCAAGACTCACGAGCGTGTTCTTCTGAAAAAGGGAGGAAACACAAACACACAGACACCACGGGAGAAATAAAGTGCTCCCCAAAATAGGGAATTACAGGCCGTGGGCTGTAAAACGGGCAGCTGTAGTACTGTTGTTACAAACTCTGAACTTCCTCTGACTGGATTTCACTCACATGTAAGGACATTCACTCGTTAATTAAATCATTTTGAGGCAATGTTTTGAAAGCGTTGTATATTGGCGTTTAGCATCAGTACAGATCGTTAAAGGGCATCCTCAGAGCTTCTCGGGTACATGTAACTGAAATGTCATAACAAGAAAACCTGCAGTTGAATGCATGCATTTATTCAATTCAATCAATGTTGAATAAAAATAATCTTGCTCAAAATACCTCCATAATCCATGTAAAAGCAGAAATGCCCTTGAATTACCACAATTAATTTCTAAAGCCCTAATTCACTACAGAAGAGGAAGTCTACAACCTGCACAGCATGATGCAACGAGTGGATGTAAATATCACTTTAACGCAAACAGAACGCGGTGAGGCATATGCTCAAGGTGTACTACTGCATGTTCATGTGGCGCTAAACACAGCAGTGACCATAACTGCACTGTGACAACAGGCCAAGGCTATTGCACTGTAGAAATTCGATCCAGTAGTGTCCCGGAATGAATTTTTATGAAATGACAAATGTCTATTGTCCATATTGGCACTTTTTGCAGGTGGTGTTGGAGTTGATTGAGCTAAGAGAGCTGGGTGCTGCTCGTTCTTTACTCAGACAAACCGACCCAATGATCATGTTGAAGCAAACCCAGCCTGAAAGGTATATACACTTGGAAAACCTACTGGCTCGCTCCTACTTTGATCCAAGAGAGGTAAGCAAATCCAGTCTCAGATTTACATAAAAAAATGCTGCTGTCACTTTTGTAAAATCTTTGTGTGTTTGTTTGACATTTTAATTTTTGCATAAACACATACAAAAGACAAACAGAATGAAAAAGTGAGTAAGTCAATAATGAAAAATCAAATAAACAAACATTGGCCCAAACAATAACACGTTTCACTTCAGAATGCAAATGCCCGTTTAACAATGGCGGATAACTCCAGTCCAACATACATTAGGAAAAGCTCCCAGGTCTTTCGAAAGACCTCGTCCTTGTGATTCAGCCGACAAGTCAAATGGTCAAGGGAAATGTAGCCAAAGATAGTTCTATGCCACTGTGTCCATGTGGGAATCTGGTCCGAAATCCCGTTAACCAGCAAACATTTCCTCGCAAAAAAAGTAAGCAATCCATACAGTTTCTTATAGTATTTCTTTGATAACAGGGTCAGTCAGTCAAAGTAATAAAAACAAAGGGTTACAATTCAAATTAATCCTTTTAAGCGCCAAACTCTCAATATTGCGACAAGCAACATTGCTCACTTAAACAGGCTGTATGTAAAAATGTGGTGCAGAATCTTGTTAATACTTTTCACCAGGGGTTAGTGGACATGTGTGCCTGTAATATGAGCAACATTTGTGGGTGTGGTTATATTGAAAGTTTTTGAGTAAATTGAGTTCGTAAAACACCTGCGGCGCTGCAGCGCGGCGGCGAAGCGGTAGTACTGAGCGGAGCAAGAGCAGAGGGAAAGTGTCAAGTTTCAACCCAGTATTCAGCAGAAACACAACTGTCTTTATTGAACCATGATTCACACTCTAACGACGTTTAGTAAAAGAAATAGATTTGACACATAACACCAACATCACTTTAGCTGATTTAGAACCCCAGACACATGTTCAGTATAAGACCAGACACTTTTGCATTTGATTGAAGACAGACACTCACCAGGCAGAGTTGGCTTATCTCCTGGTGTAGCTGGTTTTAGCCAATGTCCGTAAATGTAATCCATTTGGTCAAACCACCTCCAGACTTTTTGGTTCTGCCTCTACTTCTGCTGCTGTGATCTTTCATTGCACGGTTGTCACTTTTAAGCTTTTTAACTTTTCTCTGCATTGTGATGTTCGTGGGAATCATTCCGCTCCGTCCTTAGTACTAGCTCCACAAACACCTTCTGGTTTCTGGTGGAACCATCAAGCTCACGCTGGTGTCCTCTCCTCAAATTGAGGAAGGTGTTGCCCTCATCCAGCGACCAAAGAATTGTTTTCCGTACGGACGTCATGGGTCGAGGCAACGTGTTGTTTGTTATTTGCAACAGCTGAGGCAGCATAGCTGCAGAGTGATCGACAACGCATCTGACCAATCAGAATTGACGTTCGCCGACGTCAGATTGTTTTGGCGGCCCGGCTAGTGGGGTGGAGTCGGCCTTTTACTATGGGTCAGAACTACTTAAGGAATGAATGGCAGCGCCACAACCGAGGCGTTTTTGACGCTTGTCATGTGAAAGCCCGAGAGCCGCACGGAACCAGCCAAAGAGCCGCATGCGGCTCACGAACCGCGGGTTGGCCACCCCTGATCTAGTCTTTCAAAGAAATAATACATTTGCTTATGAGCATGTAGACAGAGCTTTCTATATCCATCCACAATGACGTGGGTCTGTTATGCACCCAATCAGATATGTTGAAATGTGTGCTAATTTGGTAATGTTTAATATCTGGGAGATCAAGTCCTCCTTCTGCTGAAGGACGGCATAGCATAGCTATCTTAAGTCGTGCTTTTCTTTTAGACTATATAAAGGAGCAGAACCAGCCATTTAATTGTTTAATTACTTTGCGAGACAGCAAGACAGGAACCATCTGTAATGGGTAAAGTAGCCTAGGAAGAACATTATTTTTTCATAGTGCGATTCTGCCCATCCAGGAAAGAGGAAGTGCATTCCATCTCTCCAGATCGAGCCCAATGCGGTCAAATAATGGGAGAAATGTTACTGCTGGTTCAGCCAGGTTTCCTTAAAGTCGCCCGATGAAAGAAAAGAAACTACAAACTTAGATAGATATAAAAGAAGGTTTAATATATAAAACAGAATACATATAAAAGACAGGCAGAGAGAAAAGCCTGGGTCTGCGCGGAGGAAAGCCAAAGCACAAAAGACCACGCTGATAGATAGGCCTCGCCTCTTATACCAGAGTTAACAGGATATGAAGATTTAAAACACATGTGACAATATGACCTATTGAACTCTAGGTTAGAAAACAATCTTCTCATCCATCAGAAGTGTCTTCTTGTATGAGACCAACTCAACCCAGATGTTTTCTGGCTTCATGCTTGTTTACTCTTCTCGTCTTTCACTCTTGCCTGGGGGCTGAAAGAATTCTGCATTCTTCGCCACCCTCAATGCATGAGTTGGTTAACTTGACTAGACCCTACTAATCTACACACATTTATTAATATGATAATACACATAACATTTCTTAACAGAGAAAGTTAGCTTTATACATAAGTTTAACTTTAGGCCTTATACGTATTTCCAAGTGAAACCCTCCGGAGACCACTTGAAAGGGATCTTTCCCTTTCATGGGGTGGCAATTTTGAATATTGATTATGTTTTGGTTGTTCATCTATTAGGCAAGACATGCATTAGGATTTTGTGTGGTATTGCTCTCAAATTTGCACTGTTCTTTCGAGTGATTCACATACAAGGAAAGAGACTGGAGTCTATGCAGTGTACAGCACATTTCCAATCCTCCTGACTATTTTTTTCTTTGTGTCCGAGTGGTTTATGGGATAATAGGCAAAAAAACAATGTGTGCCCAGCTCTGATGTATAAATGTGCAAGTGAGTGAAATAAACATAATTCATTCAACAGGCTTATCCAGACGGCAGTAGTAAGGAGAAGAGAAGAACAGCCATTGCCCAGGCCTTGGCTGGTGAGGTCAGTGTGGTGCCACCATCACGTCTGCTGGCTCTGTTGGCACAGGTGAGAATGACAATTGGGTATGCATGATATTATTGGACAATATTTACGATAATAAAAATGTCCTATAATGGTTATCAGATATTTACTGTTGTCGGTTGAAAATGATAGTGCATCACTATTGACAATGATTACTTTCCTATTACACACAAAAGTTGTACTGAGTGTGTGTGCTTGTGTCTGTTATGCAGTCTCTAAAGTGGCAGCAACACCAAGGCTTGCTGCCTCCTGGTATGACAATTGATTTGTTTAGAGGAAAAGCTGCTGTAAAAGATGTGGAAGATGAACGTTTCCCCACACAGCTCAGCCGACAGATTAAGGTATGGTTCCTCTATTTTGGCCTGAATCATCAATTCAAACTTAATCACTTTTTTTTTACAAGTAGAGTTTTTGATCAGTACAGAGTGGCTGAATCAATGCCTGACAGCTATACACACATCTGCAGTTGTCGTTGCAATCAAAAGGTTCTTGTCAGGAGAAAACTAACTCTAAAAATGTTTTGGATGGAAAATGTGGGGGTGGCAGCATTTTGTTATGGGGATGCTTTTTTGGTAGGGACAGGGAAAAGTGTCTAGAGTTGATGGGAAAATGCAGGACATTATTGGAAGTAAGGCTGCTAGAGCAATGGATTTCACATGGTACCACACACTCATGCCCTAATTTTCTATTGTCTTGCTTTCAAAAGACTGTGTTGGCTCATTACCTCTCAGGCTCATCCTTCACTGTTTTACTCAAAATAGTCACATATTTTGTTCTTAAACAGTTTGGCCAGAAGTCCCATGTAGAATGCTCGCGATTCTCCCCAGATGGACAGTACCTGGTCACTGGTTCTGTGGATGGCTTTATTGAAGTATGGAACTTTACCACAGGGAAAATTCGGAAGGTAACCTCCAACCAATGGTTGTTGTAAATGTGTACATATTCATACTGAGTGCCTGTCTTTCAGGATCTAAAGTATCAAGCACAAGATAACTTCATGATGATGGATGACGCAGTGCTCTGCATGTGTTTTAGCCGAGACACTGAGATGCTGGCCACTGGAGCCCAGGATGGGAAGATTAAGGTTTGTAAAAAAAATAAATGGTATTCAGTCACAATTGTGCAAGTTCTCCCACTTAAAAAGAGTATGGAGGCCTGTAATTTTCATCATGGGTATATCTCAACTATGAGAAACAGAATGAGAAAAAAAAATAACATTGTCTGAGAATAATCTAGCAAATTATTGCGCTCTGCAGGTCACTGACTAGGTTCCCCTGTGTGGTTCTTGGATTTTTGACCCCACGGGGTGAGATCTTGTGTAGAGCCCCAGATCAAGAGAGATTATCTGTAGTCTTGTATGTCTTCCATGTTCTAGAAATAGCTCCCACAGTTGATTTCTTCATACAAAGTTGCTTACCTATTGCAGATTCAGTCTTTCCAGCCTGGTGAAGGTCTACAATTTTGTTTCTAGTGTCCTTTGACAGGGCTTTGGTCTTGGCCGTAGTGGAGTTTGGAGTGTGACTGTTTGAGGTTGTGGACAGGTGTCTTTCATACTGTTCAAACAGGTGCCATACGAGTTCAAACAGGTGCCATTAACCTCTTAACACCCGCCTCATTTTGGCTTGTGCACAAAAGTTGGGCATACCCAAATGCCTTTGCTTATTTAAAAACGCATGTGTGACGCACATGTCACATGCTTGTGTGATGCATCATATTAAAGCTAGAGCCTTCTAGTTTATGTAAATATACACTAAAATGTTTGTCATTACTATTTCACTCTGCATCCTTTGAAGTTTGCGGTAAAAAACGTTTTGGCCTCGCCTAAAATTCAATTTCTAAAGGCCCTAAAAAAGGCATACTTCATTGTAAGTTCACAATATTCAAACCCAATAGTCATTGTGTTGTTGACAACTGTCTAAAGTTTCAGACTTCTAAGTTTTATAGTTTTTATGCAGTTGCTCCTTTTCATCAAGTAGTGCCAAAATGCTTTACTGACATTTCATCATCATAAAAAGCATATTTTTTTACTTATAAGTTACTAATCTGATTTATAAAAAAATTTAAAAGTTAATTTTTTATGAGTGTAACATAATTGCGGCTTCGAGAGCGTCTTTTGGTCTTCATTACAATGAGCTGTTCTTTATCTGATTGTGATGTCACATTTTTAGGTGTGGAAGATCCAAAGTGGCCAATGCCTTCGGCGGTTCGAGCGTGCTCACAGTAAAGGAGTTACATGTGTGAGCTTTTGTAAAGATGGCACTCAACTTCTCAGTGCCTCCTTTGATCAGACAATCAGGTACAATTGTTTTAATTTTAAAATGACTTAAATGATTAAAAAATCAGATTCCTTTTTATTGCCATGTATGTAAAAAGAAGTCACAGACCATGAATTTCCTAGTCTGACTTCCTGTTACTTACATGGCAATAAAAATAAATCAGACAATGGTAGCTTTGGCTCTCGGTGCAACTGTCAATAAAGAGAGGTAGAAAAAAGATATGAGCCTGAACATTCTGAGCTTTAACCTGCACATATCCAGACTTATCACAAGCAGATTTTGTATGATAATTTATTTACGTTAAAGAAACGTACTTATTTTTCAGCAAAATATATAGCATTCCTGGAAAATATAGTAGGCCAACTATTTGCTCATTTTGTTTATTTAGTGCAGTCCAAATAAAATGGAGTAGTTCTATTCTCTACAAAGACATAATGGCTTTTTTGGCACTTAACCTTTGTTATGCTCAGGTCACATTTTTTAATGGTGAACAGACGGGACACAACGGTAAAAAGAAAAGGCAGTAGTTAATCGTTGGGTCCAACTGACCAACCAGAGTGATTAAAAGTAGAAGAAAATACTATACATTAGGGTCTAAAATGGTCTAAATGATCCTAAAAAAATTGATTAGGGTATTTGTTAATCACTTCAGCTGGTCAATTGGACCCGAGGATTAGTTGCTACATTTTTTTACCATTCTGCTCATCTTGTTTATATTTATATAGTGTAGGCACAGATTGCCACTCATCTAAGACAAGGCAACAGTATGGTTTGACATCTTATAAAACCGATTCAGCCCAAGCCCCCTCTCCCCCCATTTTCTCTCAAGATGGAAATCCGTCTGGGGGGCTGGAGAATTTTAAGCCCTAGTATGAAAGCTGACTGATCAATGTAGTTAAGTGCTTCATGTCAATTTAGTACACTGCCAAAACAGTTCTTTGGTGAGCTTGAAGGGTACCCTGTTATTTTTGTTGTTGCATAAATGACCACATATAATGAACATAGCTGAAAATAAAATACTGAAGTAAAATATACATATTCTGTAGTTTTTAACAAATACAATTTACCATGGTATGATGAGGTTAAGCATCTGAAAAATGTTACCATGACAGTGTTCATTATTGATTGTGACTTTTTCAAAAATAGAGTTCATGGCTTAAAATCTGGTAAAACATTGAAGGAGTTTCGTGGCCACAGCTCTTTTGTGAATGAGGCGTCCTTCAGCCCCGATGGACACCATATCATCAGTGCCTCCTCGGATGGGACTGTAAAGGTGATCAGTGCATGGTTTTACATGAGGAAGGGAAACCTGTGTGCTTTTCTCATACTCTGTGTGCTTTTCTCATACTCTGTGTGCTTAAGGTTTGGAATGTGAAGACTACCGAATGCACAAACACTTTCAAGCCTCTGGGGACATCAGCTGGCACGGACATCACTGTCAACAATGTGATGCTGCTTCCTAAAAACCCAGAACACTTTGTGGTGTGCAATCGCTCCAATACAGTGGTCATTATGAACATGCAAGGACAGGTACGTGTGTGTTAAATTTAAACCTTTTTAAGCATGTGTTTCATTTAGACAACAGCTGTGTTTACATGTTTTAATCTGATCACGATTCAGATTAGAATGTATTGTGCAAATTATCTGATTGAGATACGCGCATTGTGAGGCTGGAGGTTTATTCCATTCTTCTTTGGAAAAACAGCTCATGCGCCTTTTACCCCAACCTCAAGTGTTTTACAGACTTCAGAAGCTTTCCTGTAATATTGCCCTGTATTTTGCTTCATTAATCGTCCCTTCAACTCTGACAGCCTTACCTGTCCCTGCTGAAGAAAAGATGGCTTGATCTATATCAATAGAAAATGGGGTTGATGGAATGTTCGATAATTTCACTTATCGAACATTCTATAAGCGCACGGCATTCTGGGGTAAGTAGGCAGAGGCTTCTGGACCTATCACGGCCGAGCATGAATGAGAAATGCCACAAGAAAAAAAACATTCCCTGGCTAAAGCTGCTTTCCCAGAGAAGGGAGGGATGTACAGACATAAAAACATGGTGTGCAAGAGCTCCTGTGGCAAATATCTGGTCCTCATGCTCAGAATAATCAGCTCCATATCCCGGGTACAGACCTGGTCAGTCATGTAGAGTAGTGAGCTATACTCGGAGACTTGGTTAACAGAAAACATGCCAGACTCTGTCACAGAACTGGACAACTTCACACTCTTCAGAGCGGAAAGATCAAAGCTGCACACCGGTAAGAGCAGAGGGGGAGGGCTTGCCGTGTTTGTGAACAATTACTGGTGCTGAGCACTGCACTACCAAAACTGTAGTATGCTGTAGAGACAGAGTTGCTAGCCATTAGCACAGGGATTAAAGATTTCAGTCTAGGTGACGGATTTCCGTCAAATGAAATTTGTCTGAAAAAAAAAAATATTTTTTGTAATACACACAATGAAATGGTTATTTATAAAAATATACATTAATACATATACATGAGTACCTGTTTCTTATTTATTTATACGTTTATTGTTATTCGCCGGTTTCATATTATTTTTCCGCTAAAACAATTCGATTTTTGACCCTGAAGATTGTCCGACAAAAGGCGAATCAATAGCGCTCGCCCCCCCCCCCCCCCCCCCTTTGAAATTTCAAAATTTGTCATTTCTATTGGCGCCAGGAATGCATATTTTGGAGTAGGAACACGAAATTCGGATGAGTGATAGATCTCTGAGACGAGCATAAAAGCCGGTCTAAGCAGGGAGTCGGCCATGATGGTCTGAAGTTTCGCCACCAATTTGACTTTTCATTTTTAACTTTGAGCCAGTCCCTGGTTTTTCATCAAAGTTCTACCACGTCATTTCCCAATCTGGATGGATTGAAGTTATACAATCATTAATAAAAAGTTAGAAATTCTTCACCATTTTCGTCCCTCGCCATGTCGAATAAGGCCTTTGTTTTGGGTGTTTTCGCTGAGCCCCGAGGGCCACAGGCTCGGACCTACAGAGCTGAGACTCACATCAGTAATATTAGGTTATGGCCTGAACGCAATGACACTAAAATCATTCGCCCAATATGAGCTCTTTAGCGCAACCTGTGGGAAAGAAATAAGGCACTAGTGCTCGGATCGGCCCGAAAATCGCTGTGTGATCTCTGGACCAAGATGCACAAAACATTCCATTACGCAAAAGTTGTAAGTCCCCCACCTGACCACTGGGGGCGCCACAAAATATGTGAATGTGCTTTTTGGGAAGAAATATTTGTCCGATGAGGCTAGAAATGAATTCACAAATGCAGCGTATGACTCTGAACACAACGATATGCAACACACAACTCTGAGTGCAACAGCGCCACCTACAGGCAGTTCAAGGTGTCACGTTTTTGGTTTCGTACTAGTCCCTGGATTTTCATCGCACAGACTTCTACCATGTAATTTCTCCATCTGGACGGATTAAAGTTAGAATTTCGTCATTGTTTTTATGCGAGGTGGTGGGGAATTTCTCCATGTTTGATGCTCTCCTGACCAGTCTCAGACCTACAGAGCTGAAACTCGCATCACTAACAGTTGTTGATGGCCTGAGCGTAATGTGAAAATACACACCTCAAATGACTCTACAGCGCCTCCTATGGAAGGCTTCTGACCAAAACTTTTCCGATACTCACCAAAGTTGCACAATCAAATCTTTACACTAGTACGAGCAAAATACTACTCTACGTAGTAGGTGCATGTCCCGGACGTGGCCACTAGGGGTGCACTTTATCCTATTAATGAGCTTTTATATACAGAATAGAGGTGCACCGATAAGGAATTTTTTGGCCGATCACCGATCATTAAAATTTGGATCTACCAATACCAATCATTGCCGATCCAATCAAATATTGATATTAGTGATAAATGAAGAGGACTAGTTATTCACTTTATAAAAGGTTGGGAACTACAAGTATACGTTAGAGCATTGAGATACATGAAAAAAATGCAATGAAATACAGCAATACTGTACCTGCTGCATTTCTAAACTGATTAAGAGATAGTTAAGGCAATGTTTTTTCTTCAGTAATATTAGCATCTCAGCATTTGCAGGGGTCAGTTTTACGTTTATCATCCTGAATAGTCCCGCTGCGCTAAACAGCCACTCACTGTGTACAATTGTACATGGAGCGCAGAGGAAAGCTAACGCTGCTTTGGCCAAAGCAGGGAAGCACCTTTTATTTTCCTTTCAATAAACAAGCGGCTGACAGCTCCGAGGCGTAACTACGTAGTTTCGCTAAGTAACGCTGCATCTGCGACACTGTAGGACTGTCTGTACTACCACTACACTCATCTTAATTCAACATGTCTGTAAACATAACGTGCAAAGTACCGACACGGGATGAGTTCAGCGTCTCGCTGCTGTGTTTGGTGTCTGCGCGGTGTCTGCATATTTCGTGTTTCTTACGTCATTACTGTATGGTTGTTGCCGCTGTGGAATCTCCGTTACTGATAGCTGCATGAGTTGCTTGTTTACGCAGTTTTGACGGGAGAAAGTAACTTGTGCGCATGTCATCTGATCGGTCTTTTTGATCGGCACATTTCACCGATCACGCAAATTAAGCCGTGATCTGCCGATTATAATCGGTCACCGATCAATCGGTGCACCTCTAATACGTAATCCTGGTCCGATCGGGCTGCCAATTTGTCGGCGAGTACGCCGCCTGACGCTTGTGGGACTGGTGCCCGGGAGGCAGTCGCATGAGTGGCGAGGCCTTTCATCGCCGCTTGCGGCTTTAATTGTATTTGTGTGTATATGTGTATATGTATATATATAGATGGATAGATAGACACGAGTAGGACTTGCACATGCCGTGGCCAAAGCTACTTCAGCGCTATGCAAATGAAAAGGCACTGGGACGCCGACCCATGGATGTATGCGCTTGCGCTGGCCTCACACGCAAATGAAGTCGCGGCCGAGTTAGCAATGGCAAAACGGAGATGAAAGTTTCTGGAAACTGCACGGCGCTTTTGAAAAGGAAGAGAAGTAATAACAGCTGCTGTTATTGCTAGGCGCGTTATAGACTAAAGGTAGGACATAATTAATGTTTACCAAACACAATGCCATTTTATTTAACGGAATGTACAATACAGACTTTGCTGGGAATGGGGACAAACATGTCTTGGTGAGCTTTTGATAATGTCTTGTTTGCGATCCGCATGCAATACTCAGCGTGATAAAAAAGAGCCAATCAACGAGAGCGAACCGAAGAAACTTTCTGAAGAAAGATGTGGTGTGTTAGCGCGTCTTATATTCATTTATCAAAGCTAGCCTTGCATGTACACACATCACAATCATGCATTCGTTGTTTATGGAAGAAGGAGCACAAGTTGCAATTGATAACGGAGTGAAAAATAAATGGAGGTGGCAATGGGTGGATGAGGTGGAGACGATGGGATTCTGTTGCGGTCATGGTGCAAGAAGATGAAGGTGGCTGGTGCTTGTGCGTACTTTGCCATTAAAAAAAACTGTATATGGGAGTAATGAAAAAACAGTTTTGATTCTCCACCAGCTCGAAACCGCACGAGGGAGCTGTTTGTGCACTTTTCCACACTTCATCTTTACCTGGTGCATCAGCGACCACTGAGACTAGGCTTGCTATGGCGGACCGTGTCTGTGACCTAAGAGTCTGTGGCTTTATCCCAGAAAATAACCTGTCGTTCAGAATATCACTACCGCTGGTAGATTTAATTAAATCACTTGCGGTTGATCAAAGTGCACTATCAAGGTTGACCATTTCAAATTCACATGCGTCATACTTCTGCACACATGGCATGGCACAACGATATAAAGAACTAGCCACCAAGTTGATAGGGAAACTTTTTTTCTTTAAACATTGACGAGTCCACAAACAAAAGTGTCCTTTTGCGATATTCTGACGAGGACACAGCTGTTGGCGCTAGGGCTGAAACAACTAATCGATTAATCGTCGACTAATCGATTACTAAAATAGTTGTCGACTATTTCAATAATCGATTAATCGTTTTCTGGTTCACACGGACTCAAACAGAGCAAAAATGACATGAAAATGTAGTATTTTTGATTAAAACCGACTTTGTTATTATAATTTCATGAATATCTGTCTGTCTCATCCAATCAGATAGCAGAATTAGCACAAAGAGCCTGTTACAAACATTTACTTTAAGTTTACGCCATCAATACGTCCTCGAGTGTTGCCACTTTAGCTTTTTGTGATGAAAAAAAATTTTTTTCTACACAATTCACAGCCAAGCGATTACTCGATTAATCGTAAAAATAATCAATAGATTAATCGATTACAAAATAATTGTTAGTTGCAGCTCTAGTTGGCGCTTTATCTCGCTTCAAGTACACTGTCAACCCGGACAAGTTCAGACTACTCAATTCACATTAGGAAACCGATTCCACAGTTATTTCCCTGAGGCAAAAAAATTAATTAAGTAGAGTAAACTTAAAAAGTAAAACAAAACACAAATTACTATATGGAGTCATAGCCAGTTAATGTGTTTAAGTTTTCCAATTTA